TTGTGATGATAGAAGCAAAATACGTACTTCATTGGTCTGCCATCTCTTTGTTCCACATTATAACTTTCCCTATTTCTGATTGTAAGGGACCTACATTTGTTTTTTTTTTGTTAATCTTCTTTTTAACTTCACATACTGTAGTTTCCCCTCTTAATCAATCCCTTTGTCATCCTTTGCTGAAATCTGAACTGCTTCCAATCTTCAGATCTGTTGCTCTTTTTAGTCAATTTGAACGCTTCTTCTTTGGATCTAGTACAATCTCTTGTTAGCCATGGCTGCGTCACCTTTCCTGTTTTACTTTTGCCAGACAGGAATGAACAACTGTTGCAGTTCCTCTATGTGCTCTTCAAATATTTGTCACCCGTTTAAATAGTGTTCCCTAATATTTTGTAGCCAGCTTGTGCGTCTACCACTTCCTCTCTTCAGATTGAAGTCCCTAGTCTCAGAATCAACCCTGTTAGTCTCTCTATTAAGATAGAGTTCCATTACTCTGAGTTCTTCACTCTTCCATAAGGAACCTCACAAAACTAGATTGCCAATTATTCCTTTCTCATTATACAATTAAAAATTTGAAATTAAATTGCCATTGTACAACAGGACCATGGGTTCCTCTCATTGGAGAGAGATGACTAGCGGTGCTTTAACCTGAGGGTCACCCATCCCACAGGCAAGGGGTAAGGTTGAGAACATGGGACCTTCATGGTCACTTCAGCTGGTACAGGAAATGAACATGTGGTTTTGGCATCACTCTGCATTGCAAAGCAACCATCGAGCCAACTGAGCTAGCCTGCCCCCGCCAGTTCCACGATATGCAGTCTAGGATAGCTTGTCCTCCATTTAGTTTCTCAATGTAATGATCCAGGAAACCATGTCATACACACCCCAGGAATCCCTCCTGTATGGTATTGTTAATAATTTGATTTGCCCAATTTATATTCGGATCGAAGACACCCACAATAACAAGAGTATTTTTTTTTGCTTACGTCTCTAATTTCCAGTTTAAGGTATGCTCCAAGGTAGTTCACGGAAATGTTACAAAACAGCATTTGACACCGTGTCACACCATGAGGTGTTAGGGCAGGTGACCAAATAAAGAAGGTGGGGGAGAGGGTTGAAGAGAGTTAGGGAGCAATTTCCAGATCCTGAGGCCTAGGAAACTGAAAGAATATCCACCATTGGTGGGGCGATTAATTGATCATACTCAAGAAGCCGGAATTAGTTAAGTACAGATATCTTCAAGGATTGTGTGGCTGGCAGAGATTACAGAGATAGGAATGATCACTATCATGGAGGAATTTGAAATCAAGGAAAGGAAATTTAAAATGTTGTTGTTTCTCAACTGGGAGGCATTTTAGGTCAGCATGAGATGAACAAGACTTAGTGCGAGTGAGCATGTGGGCAGTGGAGTGTTGAGCTCAATTACAGGGAGGTTGAAAGTAGGAAGTGGATAAGAAGTGCGTTAGAATCATTCAGTCTCGAGGTTACAAAGGACTGGATGAGATTTTCAGCACATGCAGCTGAGACTGTGCTGAAGTCAGATCAGTCACTGATGTGGAAATAGAACACGAAAGTGAGATGTATCTTTGTGGTCAAAAGCTTATCCCCAAGTCCAATATTCCACCAATACTGCAAAGAGCCTGGTTCAGACAGTTACTAAGGAGGGAGATACAGATGGAGTTAGCAAGTTTGTAGCAGGGACTGAAGCCAGTAGCTTTCAGTAAACAAAGGATCAGGAGTATGCCATTCAGCCACTTGAGTCTGTTCTACCATTTAATGAAATTCTGGCTCATCTGTGGTCTAACTCCATGTACCTACCTTTGGCCAATATCCACGAACACCTTTGCTGAATAAAAGTTCATTTATCTCAGATTTAAAACAAACAACTGAGCATCAACAGCAGATTTTGGAAGAGAGGTCAAAACCACTCCCACCCTTGTGTGCAGTAGTGCTTCCCAACACCTCTCCTGAACAACTTAGCCCTGATTCTCAGACTGTGCCCTCTAATTCTAGATTAAATTGGAGGAAATTTCTATTTATCCACTAGAAGATGGAGGGACATTATGTGACTTGGAGGGAGCTTTGAGATGGTGATGGTCATATATGCCTGCTCCTTTGTGGTAGTGAAGTGGCTGGTTTGGAAGGTTTTGTTAAATTTATGGCTGAGCGACCAATCTTCCAGCCCTCCCTCTCTCTCTGTCTTCTCCATCTCCCATCCCAACCCCCACCAAATTATGAAAGCCAGAGTCTCTATAACTAGACTAGCTGGCTGGTTCCCCTCCCTGAAGGACATTAGTAAATCATTTAAGTTTTTATGACAATTGGTAGCTTTCATAATCACATTTGATTTGATTTATTGTTGTCACATGTACCTAAGTACAGTGAAAAGCAATCTTTTGCAAGCAGTACAGGCAGATCATGGCAAACAAGGATATACAGATCATAGGGTGCTTAGAGTAAGGCATACAAGGTTATAGCTGCACAGGAGATGCACAAACGCGCAAGGTCAACATGAGAGTTGAAATTCGAGAGGTCCGTTCAGCAGTCTAATAACAGCAGGCAAGAAACTGTTCTTGAACCTTTTGGTGCGTGTGTTTAAGCTTCTGTATGTTCTGCCTGACGGATGAGGATGGAAAACAGTATTACCAATGTGGGAGGGGTCTTTGATTTTGGCAGCCTTTCCACGGCAACGAGAAGTGTAGATGGAGTCCGTGGATGGGAGATTGGCTTTCGTGATGATCTGGGCTGTGTGCACAATTTACTGTCGTTTCTCACGGTGCTTTTGCCATGCCAAGCCGTTATGCACCCAGGCAGAATGGGTTTTGTGGTGCATCTGTAAAAGTTGGTGAGGGTTCTTATTTCCTCAACTGCCTGAGAAAGAAGAGGCGTTGTTATGCCTTTTTGACCGTCACATCTGTGTGGGAGGTCCAGGACAGATTGTTGGTTACTGTCACTCCTAGGAACTTGGTACTGTAGACCCTCTCCACCTCAGCTCTGTTGATGTAGGTAGGGGCATGTTCTCCTCCTTTCTGAAGTCAATGATCAGTTCTTTTGTTTTGCTGACATTGAGAAAGAGATTGTCATCATTGCACCATGATACCAAGCACTCTATCTCCTTCCTGTGTTCTCACTCATCATTGTTTGATATCCGGCCTACAATGGTAGTGTCGTCAGTAAACTTGTTGTCTTGTGAGTGTATTGGGAATGCAGTAGGGGATGGAGTACACATCCTTGCAGGGTGGCAGTGTTGACGATTATTGTGGATGAGGTGTTGTCTATCCTCACTGATTGCAGTCTGTGGATGAGGAAGCTGAGGTTCCAGAGGGTGGAGCCGAGACCTAGGTCTTGGAGTTTTGAAATTAGTCTGGTAGAGATTATGGTGTTGAAGGCAGAGCTGTAGTTGATGAGTAGGAGCCTGAGATAGGTGACCTTGTTATCCATATGTTCCAGGGATGAGTGTAGGACTAGGGAAATGACATCCACTGTGGACTTGTTTCACCAGTAGGCAAGTTGCAGGGGATTGAGGCAGACTGGGAGGCTAGAGTTGATGTGGGGCATTTTCCAGCTCCACAAGCTTACCAGATTAACTTACCTCAATTTCACAACCTACTCTATCATTGGGAAATGTTAGAGTCCATTATAAAAGTCGGAATAACAGAGCATTTAGAAATACATTATACAATCAAGCAGAGTCAGCATGGTTTTGTGAAGGGGAAGTCATAGCTGACAAGTTTATTGAAATATTTTGAGGAGATAACAAGCAAGATAAATAAGGAAGAAACCAGAAGATGTAATACATGTGGATTTCCAAACAGCAATCGGTAAAGTATTGCATATCAGACTACTTCAGAAGATAAGAACCCAGAAACCTACACAGTTGGGGTACATATTAACATTGATCAAGGCTGGGTGATGAGTTGAAGGCAAGAGTTGAGATAAAGAGGGAATTTTCATGATTGCATATTGTAACTTGTGGAATCCTACAGGGATCAATACTAGAGCCACAATTATTTACAATATATACAAAACACTTGGATGACAGAAGTTTGCAGATGACACAAAGTAGATGGAGGCAGGTAGTGAGGATGACATAGCGAGACAGGTTAAACAAGTGGACAAAAACTCACTGTGGAATCTAATGTGGGAAAAGTTGATGTTTACTCATTTTGATTGGAAGATTAGGAGAGGTGAATATTATTTAAATGAGAAAGACATTACAGAAAGCTGCAGCACAGAGGGAGTCCTTGTGCTTGAAAGACAAAAAGTTAGCATCCACGTGCAGATAATCAGGAAGGTAAATGGTCTGTTGGCTTTTATTTTTATACCCCATTCCCGTTAAATAAGGATATGTTGCTAAAAACTGTACGAGACATTAGTCAGATCACACTTGCAATACTGTGAACAGTTTTAGCCTCCTTATTTTACAAAAGGCAGTGCATAGAATGTTCAGGAGATTGATCCCGGTCATGGGAGGATTTTCTCAGGTGGTGAGATTGAGTGCAGGCCCGACCTGCTCATTGGAGTTTAGAAGAATGAGAGAAGACCTTACTGAAATAAAAGCTTCTTAGAGGTTTGACAGGGTAGATTCAGAGAGACTTGTTTCTTCTTGTTTGACAGTCTAGGACCTGAGGACATAACCTCAGTGTTAGGCAATCACACATTTAAGACTGAGACGTGGAGGAATCCCTTCTCTAAAGGGGTACTGAATCTGTAGTTCTTTACTGCAGAGGGCTGTAGAGGCTGGGCTGCCCGGTGTATCCAAGGCAGAGATAAACAGATTTTTAATCGATAAGGCAGGCAAGAAGAGCTGAGGATTATCAGATCAGCCATGATCTCATTGAATGGTGACAGCAGACTTGATAGATTGAATTACCTACTTCTACATCTTACAGTCTTATTGTCTTTTTCTTTTTTTTCCTCCATTCTCACTTTACTTCCCTTTTTATGTTTTCAACCAATTTCACAGGGTATTAGAAGGGGAGGATTTGCAGTGAAAAGGCTTGAAACCAAACATCACTTCACAATCTGATGGAGTCGCCTGGTTTATTGTCGCCTGAATATCGTTGGATTTTGAACATGGAAGGAAAAAGCACAATTCACACTGAGGATAAACTGTACACATGTTGTACATGTGGACAAGGTTTCAGCAGATTATCTGCCCTCTCGCAACACAAGTACAGTCACACTGGGGAGATGCCATTCGTCTGTTCAGAGTGTGGGAAAGGATTCACTCGATCTTCCTTTTTACGGAAACACCAGCAAGTTCACACAGAGGAGAGACCTTTTAAATGCCCAGACTGTGGAAAGTGCTATAAAAGGTCTGGGGCCCTGAAGTTGCATCAACGTGTTCACACTGGGGAGAGACCCTTCAGTTGCTCTCACTGTGGGGCTGGGTTCAAGCAATCATCTGACCTCATTGAACACCAGCGGATTCACACTGGGGAGAGACCATTTACCTGCTCAGAATGTGGGAAGACATTCGCTCGGAAATCAATCCTGCTGAAACACCAGCAAGTTCACACAGAGGAGAGACCTTTTCAATGCTCAGATTGTGGAAAATGCTATAAAAGATCTGGCGACCTGAGGTCACATCAACATGTTCACACTGATGAGAGACTGTTTAAGTGCTCCCACTGCGGAGCTGGGTTCAGGCAGTCGTTCCAACTCACTGTACATCAGCAAACACACACTGGGGAGAGGCCGTACACCTGCACTGAGTGTGGGAAGGGATTCACTCAGAAATCCAACCTTCTGAAACACCAGCGACTTCACACAGAGGAGAGACCTTTTAAATGCCCAGACTGTGGGAAGTGCTTCAAAAGATCTGGGGATCTGGTGTCCCATCAACGTGTTCACACTGATGAGAGACCGTTCAGATGCTCTCACTGTGGGACTGGGTTCAGATGGTCAACCCAACTCACTGTACACCAGCGAACTCACACTGGGGAGAGACCATTCACCTGCACTGAATGTGGGAAGGGATTCACTATGAAATCCAAACTGCTACATCACCAGCGAGTTCATGAACAGTGACACTGACTGGCTTTTACTGTAATAAATATAGTTCCCTTCCACTCTGCCACTCAGATTGTCTAGCAATGAAATTTTGTCTTAAATGTAATGTAACAAGTACTTTAAAAATCTCTAACACATGTTGACGCTCTTTGAATTGATCTCCTTCTGACTGGAGGAATTGGATTTTGCTGTTAATCATATTAAGCCACAACCATGTTCCCTAATGTCTTTTTCGGCTGTTTTTTTAAACTCCAGCCTAGTTATGGGTCTTAATAAAAACAATTATATCAGGTCTGTGTTAAACAGCCTACTAAAGCTTTCTAACGTGCTTAGTACTTTCTTTTGAAGTTTTTGTCCCTTTCTATATCATCTATTTAGTGAGAAGTACACGGAGCTTCGTCATTCAGATTGAGACAAACTGATTAGCTGCCTCCTCGATGTCCCTCCTTTCCCTGAAACTGTCTCTGAAGTTCCATCTTGTCTGAGTCCTGAACCTGCATCTTTCTCCAGTTCCTCTCCTACCTCCAGAGCTCTTCATGTCCATGAGACCCAACAGCTAGTCCCTTGACCCACTTTCCACGAAATTGCTGTGCATCCAACCTCCCTGTTATCTGAAATTGTTAACAGTTCTTGCTCTCGTCTGGTATGTTACCTTTCACTTTAGATCCATCTGTTGAAAACCACCTTGACCTCATCTCAAACTCCCTTTCTTCTCCAAAATAACCTGGAACTTGATGTTCCCCTAGGATCTACCCTTCCCTACACACACACACACACACACCGCCCTCCCATGCCCACCTACACATTGCCACTCGGTGACATCATCAAAAGGCACTAAGTTCTCATACGTCCAATGAAATCAACCAACATGACCTCAGGACACAATCCCCCTTCTCCATTATCCCACTGTTGCTAAATTATCAGACTGTGTATTCCACATTCCTGGATTTCTTTTCCAACTCACTCGCATGGAGTGGTCATTGCTGACTTGGTCAGCATTTAATGCCCATCGAGGGCAGTTAATAGTCAACCACATTGCTGTAGGTCTGCAGTTACATGTAGGCCAGACTGGGTAAGTGTGGCAGTTTCCTTCCCTAAAGGATATTATAGTGTATCAGGTGGATTTTTCCCAATAATCAACAATAGTGGCCCTGGTGGAACACAGCATCAGTGAGCTGGTTATTGCTGAGTGAGTACTTTCTGATAGAAATGTTGCCCAACTCCATCATTTTGCTGATAATGCAGAGTAGGATTAATTGAAAGGGTTGGATATGTCCTGCTTTTGTGGACACGATATAGCTGACTTTCTTTTTAATTTACTGTATCAATCTAAGTTTTATAGTGCATTGGAATTACTTGGCTGGGGCAGAAACCGGAACTGAGTGATATGTTCATCCATCATTTTGTTCACTTTTGTTGTCACTTATAAATGATTTAAATGAGGATAAAGAAGACATGGTTAGTAAGTTTGCTGATGACACCAAAATTGGTGGTGTAGTGGACAGTGAAGAATGTTATCTTGATTGATTGGGTCAGTGGGCTGTGGAGTGCAAGATGAAGTTTAATGTGGAACAAACACAAAGGATTGCATTTTGGTACCACAAACAAGGGCAGGACTTATACAATTAAAAGTAGGGCATTGGGTAGTGTTGTAGAACAGAGACATAGGGGTTCAAGTACATAGTTCCTTTAAGTTTGCATCACGTAGACAGTGGTTAAGAAGATGTTTAGAACGCATTCTTTCATTGCTCAGATCTTCTGCATATAGGAGTTGGGACGTCAAGTTGAGGTACACTATGTTGGTGAGGCCTCTTCTGGAGTACTATATTCAGTTCTGGTTGCCCTTTTATAGGTAGGATATAAATCAAGCTTGAAAAGGGTTCAGAAAAGATTCACCAGGATGTTGCCAGGAATCGGAGGTTTGAGTTCTAGGGAGAGGCTGGATAGGTTAGGACTTTTTTCACTTGAGCATAGAAGGTCGAGGGGTGACCTTTCATTGAGGTTTTTAGAATCATGAGAAGTATAGGGAAGGTGAATGGCAGGTGTTTTCAAGAGTGGAGGGCATATTTTCAAGGTAAGAAGGGAAAGATTTAAAAAGGACATGAGGGGCAACTTTATTACAAAGTGGTTCATGTGTGGAATGAACTTCCAGAGGAAGCGGTGGATTCGGACATAGCTACAATGTTTAAAAGATATTTGGATATGTACATAAGTAAGAAAGATTGAAGGGATATGAGCCAAGTGCAGGTAGGTGGGACTGGTTTAGTTTGGGATTATGTTGGCGTGGATTGGCCAGACCGAAGGCTGTCTTTCTGTGTTGTATGACTCTATCATCATATTAAATGGTAGGGCAGGCTCAAAGGGCCTAGTGGCCTACTGCTGTTCTGATGTTTCTATTTTCAGGATTGTCCAGGTCTACAGCACAGAAAATGGCACTTCGACCCATGGAGTCTGCCTGGATCATCATCTCACATTTCTGCCTGAAGATTCGTGGAAATGCTTCATGCAGCTTTACCTTTTGCACCACTGTGCTGGACTCACTCATTTCACACATGACAAGATAAAATCTTTTGAGTTACTCATTTTCAGTCTGGTTTGTTCTGAATGAGGACAGAGTGACAGAGGGTGGCGTGATGGTTCAGTGTTTAGTACTGTTGCCACATAGCACCAGGGAACCAGATTCGATTCTGGCCTTGGGTAACTGTGTGTAGTTGGCACATTCTCCCTGTATCTGTGTGGGTTTCCACTGGGTGCTCCAGTTTCCTCCCACAGTCCACATGTGCAAATTGGACAATTTAGCATGGTAAATCCATCTAGTGTCCAGGGAAGTACAGGCTGGGTGGATTAACCAGGGAAATGTAGAATTACAGTGATAGGGTAGGGGATAGGTCTGGGAAGGCTGCTCTCCAGATTGTTGATGTGGACTCTTAGGCTGAATGGTCTGTTTCAACACTGTGGAATTCAATCCACAATGCAATCCACACTTTAGGGAATGCTAGGTGGGGGTCGAAGGGTCAGTGGACTCAGCATGAGTGGCTAGACCTCCAACTAATCAGAAAATGAGGAATGGGGCTGCAACTGGAGCATGCGCAATGCTAGTTCCTGAGGTGGCTATGTGTATTCCACGTTGGAAGAGTCGGGTGCGGGGCCAGGAGAAGAGGAGAACGGCTGGGTGGATTGAAAAGCTTTGGAAACGTCTTTGAAGATTTTGGGACTCGAATAAAAGCTACCTTTCCCTAGTTTGCATCAATTACAATAGCAGTGATGCTGCTCCCTCCCTGCCATCAAAGTCTGTGAGCTGTGTGCACGCATGGTCCTGGGCTTGGGAGGGAGATTGCACTGAATATCTGTTCTGAACAGAGAGGAAGGGGCTTTTTGTACACTTCTTTTGCTGCACATTTGATAGGAAGCAGTTTCCAGATGCTCAAATCCAACCAAACATCACGGCAAGATCTGACAGATTCACTCCAGTAACCAGCACCTCAATATCATCGGCCTTTTACCGTTTGTGGGAAAAGATCAGCGTCACTGGAAAAGTCCTGGGAGATTCAAAATCCAACCCACAGCAGCCCTGAAGGTTGTATCAGGTCTGGTCACCACACCTGAGGAAGGATAGACCATGTGATCCTTCCTGGGAGAGCAGTGCAGATTTATCCCTATGATACCAGGACTTGGAAGGGTGAATTTACATGATGTCCTTCAGTTCGTTGACTCTTGAACAAACTGGTCAGTTGTGTTGTCACCTCCACTCATCATCCTTAACAGTCACTCACAAATGCGGATGACTCTTCCACTCTCATGCTGAGTCCGTAGGTAGCTCTACAGACTGATGCAGCTACTGCAGACTGTTATACTCGGGGTAGGTGGTGGTCATGGGAAGGGGCGGGTGGGACATCGGTGTGGAAGCACACTGTTTTTGCCTAAATTCCATTTTTTCAGGATGGCAAGTCTGAAGGTGCTTGACACCTTCCCGGATGGTCCTCCTCCACTTTGGATATTTTTGGGCTAGTGACTCCTAGTTGTCTGTGGCCTTGAGGTTATCACTGAAGTGCTTCCTCTGTCCACCTGGCGCTTGCCTGCTGTTTTGAACTTGGGAGTAGAGCACCTGCTTAGGGAGTCTCCTGATGGTCATGTAGATGATATGCCCAGCCCATTGTAACTGATCAAGGGTGGTCAGTGCCTCGATGCTGGAGAAGTTGGCCTGGTCGTGGACCTGGTGTTGGTGCGTCTTTCTTCCCAGCAGATTTGCAGAATCTTGCACATGCATCATTATTGGTACTGGTGTTTACTGTAGACAGTCCATGTCCCAGCATCATATAGGAGGGCGATAACCACCACAGCTCTGTAAACAATGATCTTGGTGTTGGATCTGATGTTGTTGTTCTCAAACATCCTTTTCCTCAGGCAGCCAAAGTCTGCACTAACACACTGGAGGCAATGGTGGATCTCAATAACTGCTTTGGCCTCCACTGTATCCCCATAATCCACCACATTCATTTTTACAGAGTCATGCAGCATAGAAACAGACCCTTTGGTCCAATTAGTCCATGCCAACCAAGTTTCCCAAACTAGATTAGTCCCACTTGCCTGTGTTTGGCCCATATCCCTCTATCCTGTTCAAGGGCTGAAAAATGGCAGATGGAGTTCAATCTGGATAAATACGAGGTATTGCATTTTGGTACAACAAACAAGGGTAGGGGTTATATAATTAATGGTAGGCCCTTGGGTAGTGCTGTAGAACAGAGGAACCTAGGGTGCAGGTACATAATTCTTTGAGGTTTGCATCACATATAAACAGGGTGGTTAAGAAGGTGGTTAGACATGCCTTCATTGCTCCGTCCTTTTGAGTATAGGAGTTGGGAAGTTATGTTGAGGTTGTCCAGGACATTGAATCATAGAATCCCTACAGTGTGGAAACAGACTGTTTGGTCTATTGAGTTCACACTGACCTCTGAAGAGCATCCCACCCAGACCCACCCTCCGCTACCCTTTTACCCCCACATTTCGCATGGCTAACCTACCTTGCCTGCATATACCTGGAAACTATGAGCAATTTAGCATGACCAATCCACTCAACCTGCATGTCTTTGGACTGTGGGAGGAAACTGGAGCATTTGGAGGGAACCCACACAGACACTGTGAGAACATGCAAACTCCATTGGTGAGGCCTGTTCTGGAATAGTGTCTAGTTCTGTTCATCCAGTTAAAGGAATGATATTATTAAGCTGGTGAGGGTTCAGACGAGATTTACCAGGATGTTGCTGGGTATGGAAGGTTTGAATTATAAAGGAAAACTGGATAGACTGGGACTTTTT